CACAATTTTATGCCTCATTTCGAGATCAGGACATAAACACACAAAAGGTTGAAGGGATCTGCCCAGGGTCCCACAATCAGGAGGTGGCAGAGTTGGTATTTGAAGCCAGGTCATTTGTCTTTAGAATCAAGGACATTTTTACTGCTATAACTCCAGAACTTTCCAGATTGAAGCCTGTGGTGTCAACCACCTTCTCTCTTGTGATGACATTGAGTACTCTGGTTGAGTACTTCAGATCAAATCTTTGGGCCATGGATTGGTACTGTATTATTCTAACCGTTTGCTTGGACAACTCCCAATTTGTTTAAAAGATCCCTTTTCTCCCAAACCCCTCCTCTTTCTGTTTGTGTCTCAGAATGAGCCATCCATGAGTGAATCCTGTGAATGGTAAGGTTTTTCTTATAGGGAAATCAAGGAGTTTGAATAATGCCCCTTTTCCATCAGCTTGCCTTATTGGGTTTCTGAAAATTTTGCCCAGGGTTTTCTAGAATTCAGATGTGGATAAGGATCAGATCCAGGATAACAGTTAAATGTTAATAGTTGTTGTTTGTTTGTTTGTTTCTGAGGGGAGCTATGTACCAAAATCAAGGTGTTATAAGGGGGTGGCTTCAAACCTGACTGTGTGTGAGAATTACGTGGTGATCTTTAAAAAAAATTATAGGTTCCCCCCAAATCACAGGCTCCCAAGCCGTACAGAATGGGGATCTCTGGTGTGGGCCCAGGAATCTAAATGAAAAAGCTCCCTGATGACTCTGACACAGCCAAATTGGAGCTCCACTGGTATAAGGGAGAGAACTGTGATTGGAATCAGAATTAAGCATACCTGAGCTTGGGGCTTGGCTCTTGAGTGGTTTTCCTTCATAAGCTCTATGACTTTGGCCCACTGAAACTCCCCAAATCACATTTTTTCTCATGTGTAAAGTGGAGATAGTAATACAATGTTACAAAGGTGTTATAAGAACTAAAAGGGTTAATAAGAGGTATCCTGTTTTTTATGCTTAGTTTTGGGTGCTTATTATATACTTGGTAGTTTATATTTAGCTATCATCCTCACTTTAATCCTACAAGGTAGTTATTTTTTTACTGAGTTGGAAACCGAGGTATAGAGACGACAAGTAGTTTGCCTGAGGTTTCATGGTTAGTAAGTGGCAAAGTTGCTGGAGGGGTGACCAACTCTTTTCAATTTTAGCTCTAAAAGTCCTGTGTCACAGGAAACCTCTCAGGCCCAGGCAAACCAGGATGGTTGGCCACCCTAGTTGCTGGTAAGGAATTCTAACCTAGCTCTGTCAACATTTCAAAGCTCTTTCCATCACATGACACTGTTGCTCCTATGAAAGCCCCTTGAATGGTCTTGGCACATTGATAAAAGATCCCTAAATATTCGTCGAATCTGAATTAGATAGGGGCTAATAATTTACAACTAAATTATTAGACCCTATCATTTTTCTTTTAGGATCCCTTGATCACATCACTGTGGTAACTGCTGATGGGAAGCTAGCTTTAAACCAGATTGGCCAGATCTCCATGAAGTCGCCACAGCTGATTTTGGTGAATATGGCCAGCTTCCCAGAGGTAAGGTGGCCTTGCTGAAAGCGTCCTTCTCCATAGTCTATTTTGGAATGGAGGAGGCTGGGTCAAGTCAGGAGGAAGTATTCCCTCCACCTGGGGATGAAACGAGAGAAGATATAATAAAGGGAACTTAAGGATAAGGAAAAAGTCTTGCCTGTTTCTAAATTCCTTTTCTGTTAAACACTAGAAGCCAGACAAGCAATTTGAATACCGAAACAGGCCCATCTTAGAAAAACAGCAGTGGCGATGCAGTGATTGGCNATTATCCTATTTGGCAGTTGTGTTTCTGAATCTGAAGATTTACATCTTTCATCGGTTCTGAAAATTCTAAGCCTTTAGCTTAACTTAAGAGCAATGAGGTTTTAAGCATGATGGTGATAAAAGCAAATAAAAACAAATCATTCTGCTGCTTACTGGTTGGTTGCTTAGGAAAAACATTTAAATGGCTTATGCCTCAGATTTCTTATCTGTACAATGGGACAATAATAATCTCTGTTCTGTCTCAGAGAGCTGCTTTGAGTATCTGATAGAAGAAGGTACTTCAAATTGTACTGCAAATTAATATGCTATACAAATAGCACAGGGTGTAGCTCACTGTAGATGTTCAATAAATTTTGTTGTGAAAGAATCTCAATAAATGTTTGTCGAACATTTAGTAAATGAGCAACTGTAGGACAGTATTATTTAAATATATTTAATTTTTTCTCCTTCCCCCACCCTCCATAAAAAAATGCAAGAATATTTATATTACTCACCAGAGTGATCTATGTATATACACATTACAGAATGTATATGAAAAATCATCATGATGGTTTAGATATAACAATTTTATTCAGCTCTCAGTGCTGTTGATTTTCTAAAATGTAAGCCGTGGTCACTTCTACTAGTGGTGGTTAATGTTTCTGAACTACTGTTCTGTTTGTTTGTACCAGCCATCAGATACTTCGCATATCCTTGTCTTAGTTTACATTTTAAAATGAATTAATATATTTCCTTTGTCTCCAATTAGATTTTATGGAGGTAGCCTAATGGGAAGTTCATGCGTTTAAAGTTAGGCAGATCTGGGACCAAATCTTGGCTTTACTATTTCATGACTTTGTGATATTAGGCAAGTCATTTTACCTTTCTCATTTTTTCTGAAAAATAAGTAAATAATTCACTTATGGAGTGTCTGCCATATGAATAGTGCTCTTTTAGGTATTTGAATTATTGGGTTGTCGGAAAAGTCATGACGTATTTTTCTGTTTTTCATTGCAAAAATGTGTCATGACTTTTCTGACAACCCAATACTTAATTTGTATCCTTGTAGCAACCTAGCAGTATCGATAGTATCCCTGTTTTACAGGTAAGGAACCTGATACTCAGAAAAGTAGAGTAACTTGCCCAAGGTCATAAAGCTGGTTTGCATCATAGCCAGGATTTTTACCTGGGGTATCTCATTATAAAGCCTGTGCCTTCACTAGTATCTGAGAAACTGTTTAGCACAGTGCTGAGAACCTAGTAGACACTCAGTAAATGGAGGCCTTTTTTTAGGACAGTGATAATGTTCTGTAATTTTCCAAGCCCTTGGCATTTTGCCCTGCACATAGTAGGCATTTCTTCACTAGTTGTTTATTGTCTCTGTAATTATGCTGCTGTTCTTTTACTCATTGAATGTTGACTTTCTAGCCAAGGCGAAAGGACAGTCTCAAACCAGAGTGAATCTTAACACTGCCTTGGTTGAAGATATAATCAAGTTGGAAGAGGTGGAAGAAGAAATGAAGTCTGTGATGGAAGCACTGAAGGATAATTTCAATAAGACTGTCAATATAAGGACCTCACCAGGTTAGTGACTGAACCAATATTTTGGAGAAAGGCATAGTGGGAAAATCATGGCTTTGGTAGAGCTGGGTTTTAGTTCCAGCTTGATCCTCATTAACTGGTGACCATGGGCAGTTATACTTTTCTGATCCTCAGTTTCCTTGTCTAATTCCTATCTTATAGCTTTGGGGTGAGTATTAAAATAAGTGAGGGAACGTATGTAATGGTTCTAGCACAATGACGGGTTAACACTCCATTTATTTATCCATTCAGCAAATATTTGTCTACTCTGAACTAGGCATTGTGCTAGTACACAGTGGTGAACAAAAACAGGCCTGGTCTTTGCTCTCGTGGAATCATCCTCTCAAAAAACCAGAGTTTTTTTATGACTATAATAAACACCATGTATACATCTAGGTGTATTTTTCCTATTTGGCCGTTCTTATCCTTTACTGGGAACCAACTGGCTGCAAACCGGCCCACCTGAGGCCTTTCTGTACCCCTGAGCTTGACCAGGAAGATTACGTTTGGGTTAATTTCCTGAAAGTGGCTTTTCTAAGTGGGAAATGTCAGAACTGTCTAGGAGAACTGTTTGCAGATGTGATGGAAGAAGTGAGTTGTCAGCTAATGGTGCAGGCAGGCAGGAAAAATCCAATTGCTGTTAAATTGGCCTTTTGGAAATTGTCATCATCCTAGAGTCAAGCCTGGGACCCCCTCGGAAGGTATCTATGGGAGCTCGGGCTGTTTCCACTCACATCTTGGTTTGGATAGTTCGTAGGGAAACTGGAAAATATTTCATGAACTTGTTCTTAAGAAAACCAAGTGAAAAATATACAGCTCCGTTTATAAACACCCGCAGAAACATACTGAGTTCAGAGAGGAGATCCAATGTGAAACCAGAAGACCGTTCCGTCATTTGTCAACCTTTAGACTGGGGCATTTCGGCCTTCGCTGACAGTACAGCGTGCCATTCAATCTCTCCCAACTGTTTATTTTAAACTTGCTTATTATTTTAGGTATGAAACTGATAAAGTGCTTTGTCTCCCCTGTGCTTTCTGGCCTGTTAACATTCTGCAGCCGAAACCAGAGAGCGGTTTGAGAGGAGCTCAGGGAGAAATGTGATACTTAAAATTAGCCAGCAAGCTTCACTCTTGTTGAACTTAAAAAGATGATGGGCCTGGAAAGAGGTTGGGAGTGTAATTTGTTAAATGTTAACCTCTGAGAAAATGAGGGGCAGGAACGAGGCTGAGGGAGATTCTCGCTGGGGACAGATTGAGGGAAAGGATTTGATGCATTATGTCGATATGGATTTAGGGAACGGGAACACCACAACTGCGTACTGGGAAGCCCATGTTGAGACTTCTGTGGCAGAGGATCTTGTGGCAAACCAGGAAGGCTGAATTAAGGCCTCCCATTGGTATTTCCTTTTTTCTTTCTTTTTAGGGTTATGTTTGTGTAACGCTCTGTGTAGAACTTGGGGCCATGAAGATACTGGGTGAAACAGGCTGAACTCAGCCAGTCTTTTTTTGGCCATATTCTTCCACATCACCTTTCATTACTATCTGAAGCAGCAAGCACTTTTCTTCTTATACCTCCATCTATCTACCAGCAGTTTCTAGCTCCAAGTAGATGATTGTTTTTAATAGTTGCCTACGATATGGGTTTATTCATTTGTTCATTCTGGCCCTCTTATCCATCCACCCATCCACCCACCCATTCATTTATGTGTCAAAGCCTTATTGAGTTCTTATTTTGTGCTGATTAATAGGTGCTGTAGATACAGAGAGAAAAGACATTCTTCCCACCATTTGAGAGGCTAGAGCCTAATGTGAAGGGACAGACAAGTAAACCAAAATATATAAAATCATATCATAAAGCAGAGTGGTGAAGACCTTAGCTTTGGAATTGGTCAGACCTGGGTTTGAATTCAAGCGCCATTATTAGGAGCTCTTGTGACCCTGGGCAAGTTGTTCTCTGTGCCTCAGTTTCCTCATCTGTTAAATAGTGGAACTATCTCAGGGTTATTGTGATAATGAAAGCAAATAAATTNTCTTAATTTTTAGCTGAGTAATAGCCAGGTTCCTGGCAGAAGCTACATTTGCCAGTTAGCTAGGACTGGGTGCTATCAGAGGTAACTGTAGGCTCTAGCATCTTTCCCTAGTCTGAGACCTCAGAAGTGTAACTTGTGTTAACACAGAGAAGGGTGGCATTTTCCAGAGCTTTAGTCTATAACATGGAAGACCTCAAACCTCAACCATGCTTCAGACTCACATTAAAGTAAAGTGCATTCTAATTGGTAATCAGTGTATAAGGAACCAAAGAAAATTTTAATTAAATGCTGTTGTGTGAGTTTTCCAGTCATTTTATGCCTGTTGAAATGGTTTTCTTATTTAGTTCAAAGTCCTCTTCCAGTGCTCTGCGCCCTCTCTCTTTATAGTATAAGTTTATAAAGATTTTGTTTCTTTTCTCTTATAAGAATTTAATTAGCATCATTAAAGATTTAGGCTGCTGTGCATTTGGTGAACTCTGTGTCTTGTGTACTAAGAGGCATTTGGTGCAGTGGAAAAAGCATGGCAATTTGGAGTCCTACAGACTGTGGGCAAGTTACTTAAATCTCTGTGAGCCCCAGTTTCTGTGTCCTGGAAAATGGGACTAATCATATTTCCTTGTACAGCTGTTAGGAAGAGGATTAGAGATAAATTAAATTGGATAGCATATAGCTCAGTTTATAAGAGTTGTTTGATAATTGGCACAGATGATTTTCTGGAGTTGTCATAGAGTCTGTTTTACTTAGATCTCCTTTTTGTCTTATTCTTTTTAGTAGGCGTTCTACAAGGATTGTCCTCAGTCATGGCCTTAGGTTTAAGGTGCTTCCGCTTGGGCCACCCTGCCTTTTGCAACTCCCTTGTAGCCTTGAGCAGACCTGTTTCAGAAGTTATACTGAAGACAGTGAATGGAAGACAGAATGACCACAGGCAATCCATGGCCTATCCACCTGTACCAACCCGTCATTTTGCTACCAAGAAAGCCAAAGGTACGACCTGTGACCTCCTCACCCCTTTCTTACATGTAGCCCTTGAATGGTCATAGCTGGAAGGTTCTCAGAGATACTGAATTTCTCCCTTTGCCACATGAGGAAATGGTGTCTCCTAGTACAGCTGATTAGCTGAAAAGTTCACAGTGATGGGAAACTTGGGGTCTGT